TTCTTTCTCTAGCCTAAGCTTATTCTTCATCATGTATTGGTAGTTGCTACGATGCAGTGAGTTGGTGTAGACGATGATGTGACTTCCACGTAAGACCTTATAGATTAGGCAGTTATATCATAACAAATCTACAATTTTAGGATTAGGTCTATTATTAGAGCAGTATTAATATCATAGTAGACCATAATTCCACAAGTGTGTCGGCATTGTTTGAAGTAAAGAAAGTTCTCCAATCAGTGCTTCTTAGGTAATTGTGGAAGTTATTCCAATCAACCTTGCGATAGTTCCTACGAGATGTTAAAGTTTTACTCCTACAGGTTGTGGTTTTACATCAAGGCTGCATATGACAATGTTATGATCACTACCTGGAAACTTTTTTCCAATATACAAAGTATTGGGGATGAAGCCATTGGTAAAGACAAATTCCAAGATGTTTTGATGTCTGGTAGGGCTCTTGACATACTGAGCCCATTGTCCAAGCTCTAGACATTCAATAAATGATTCATAACGTCTTGGCCTTTGACTGGGAGCCAAGAAATTTCGTGCATGTTGAAGTCATCGTAACTAGGCTTGCCTGTGAATGGAAGAGATGATGTTAATGTAAATACCCCCGACAATACTGCTATTTCATTTATTAATACTTTAGGTTGACGGTAAACACAGCTGAACAGTAAGATAATAGAACTCAATGGCCTTAAAACAATCCACACCGAATCCCTTAGTTGGTTTAGTTCAGGCATATCACATAGTAGTGAGTTTAGGCTAGAGTGAGTGTAAGTAAGGCATCCTCCGCATCGTCCTTTCAGTTTATCGCTTCTATATAAGAAATAGTTATCAAGAGTTATACTTAAATCAGAAATATTAGTGTTAGTTTATGCTTCAGTTATCGGTATAGGCGAAGGTTGTTATATGGATACAAACATGGCTAAATCCGTCTTTTTATTGCAGATCGACCTAGCGTTGATAAGACACACATTAAAAAATGGCCTACTAAGTTGAAATGAGTAAAAGTATATCGGTTAAAGTTGTCATAACCCTCGCGGGTGTGATATGGTTTTAAAGTGAGGGTTTGAATGTTCTTCATTAGCTCAGTATCTTGATAGCCAGAGTTAGTGGAAGATTTATCAAATGAGCTGGTGAAGTTTCTCAGGGAGTTTACTCAGGATTATGCTTTATTCGCGATGTCTTTCAAATCGATGAGTTCGCAATAACACGACGTTGCACTGTTGAGGATCTCATGAGAGACGAGCAATTCGGTATGAACTGCCGATAGAAAATTAACTGACCATATACACAATATATGTAATTGCATGACTGTGGTCAGTTCTGGGAAATCCAGAACGGCAGCTACTTTGCTTTGCAAAGAAGAAATCTTGGGATTCGGTCATGATTTGATATGTCTGAATGTTTACAGTAATATCATGTTTTTGAAGTCGTTGGAAAACAAGGTTCAGATGCTGGAGACGACATTCTCCTTCCGAAATTGCGATTATACAGTCATCTACATATGCACTTACGAAGTTGAGACTTCAAAAGACGTCACCGACGAATCACTGCAAAGTCTGTACAGCATCGTTTAAACCGAAATGCCTGAGCAAAAATTCGTGGAGTCCGAAGGGAGCAATGAAAGCGGTTTTACGAATATCATCAGCAGCCACAGGAATTTGGCTATAGGCGCTAGCCAAATTAATTTTGAAAATACTGTCGTGCCTTCTTAGATAGCTGTCAAATCGTGAATTTACTGCGACGGGGAATGATCAGGAATGGCTTCCACCTTCAGTCACCGGTAATCAGCAGTTAAAGTCCTGTCGTTGCTGTTCATTTACGGGACCACGTGCGAGAGAGATGTTCATGGACTGTTCGATGGCCCTATGATTCTCAAGTATATCACGTGTGCAAATCGGTTCTCGTCCAAGCTTAGCTGGTTACACACAGTAATTCTTATCGCTTTTGGTACAGATCAAGGTGCTTATCGAGTATCTGTGATAGAATGGGCCGATTATGTGCTTAACAGTGACAAGGAATAATCTGCACCCGGAACAGCGAGCTACACAAACGGATAAATTAGCACTTCGGTCTTCTAAGTTCTTTTTCTTGCGTCGGTAAGCAGATTGTGGTGTTGTTGCAGGTCTATACCAGTGTTTGGCATAGAAACATCTGCAACAAAGGGTTTGTGTAAACACATGTCAAGCTGAACATATCTCTTACCATAAGTGGCAATCACTTTTCCATAAGCCGCCTGTAAGTTGAAAACTGGTTCGTGCGGTCGGTCGCTAGAATTCGCTGAAAGAACGCTAACTTTTGCATCAGTGTCGACGAGGTTGTGAACTTTCACCATTTAGTCACTGGTCTGTGGCGGAAGGCTATGTTCACTTGTCACGGTTCCCGCTGGCTCGTACCGGCGGGGAAGTTTCCTAAATTGTTTTTCTTGTCATATGGTCCTGAGCTTGAGAAACTGAAGGGTTTTCTGTAAATTCTAGAGGACCTACCATATTTATTGTGGTACCAGAGCCATACAGCAGTATCTATCTCCTTTTTTCTGGAGACAGATCTTCGTGACGAGTTTCTCTTGGGGGTTCGAAAGTGTCTACAATTATGATGAGCATTAGAGCGACGAGTAAGAGTGTGACAGAGACATGTGGCGTCATTTCTTGTTGCTTGATTTTCTTTGAAAGAATAAACCTCACCACTGAAGGTCCCGATGATCTCCAGGATTCGGTCGACAGATGCAGCCAGTTCATCTATGGCGTTATCATGAAACGAGACAGGGACTGCCTGCACCTCTTGGTGAGGCCTAGACAAGAAGAGCTGTATAAACAAACCCTCATCAAAGGTCTGCTGATCAGTGACCTCTCTCATTTGCAGCAACATTTCTGTTCCTGAGCCACGTTGCAACTTGATGCTGTGGGAGTTTGTCTAGCCTTTGTCAGTCGGTTAGATCTCCAAGCCTAAGGATAATGTCTTTAAGAGTTTCTTAAGTTTCCGAAACACCACTAGTAGACACACTGTGTGCGGCGTACTTGTTGAAATTGCGCGGTAGTGACTTCACTACTGTTAGGGATTGTGCACGTGGTTCTGTCACGCCGTGCCCGTGGAAGTCAGTTTCTGCGTAGCAGGACCAGGCTTGAATATTGTTAGACCGAAACGTCATTAGCTGGAATGAAGGAGGCGAAAGGGTCTTTATCTTAAATAACTAAGGAGTCTGTTTCGCCATGATAAATATAAAGTATACAAATGAACGAGAAAAATGTATCCAAAAATTCAAAACATCATCACAATATGTAAAAGATAACGATTAAGAAAGAATATATAATGTTCCAAAAGGAACAGACTCACATTTCACAAAAACAAGTGTATCAGATCACGTAGAACCACCACTGAAGGTCCCAAAAGTACTCAGAGTTTGAGAACACGTTCACACGTAACACCCTTATGTTGGAAGTATGTCAACGTATTCGATTCGGAAGTTAGAAATGAAGGGTTTTTAGTGGCCCGTGACCTGACTCCAAGTAGATCGTATGAATGATTGTTATTGAAATATATATGTCGCCTACCCTCGTATATAATCATTGACTTAAATCGCGTTAGTCAATAACGGGAAACGTTTGATCTATTCTGGTTAACAGTTGCGTAGCACGATGTACCCATGCGTGGTCTGGTGAGAATGTGCGACCGAGTACCTTCAGCTCGGTGAGCTCAGTAAAACTAATGAGGTCAGTATCAACTGTTGAACACTTATAGTGCTTGTGATTGTGATGACTTCTTTTAACGATTCACATAGGGTGCTACATGGATACATCAGTGATCTATTGCTACCATATCCGAAAGTCTGTTCAAATGGTTGTGGACGGAATAGAAGGAGCTTTCGCTTAACAGGCTTCCGTGTCTAGTAGCAGGGGATCACCAAATCCTCCAGACAGGAACCTAGGTATGTTAACAATAAAAGGGGAAATAGAAATGTGTAAATCATAGTATGATGCTGTCCTTGGTCCTTAAGAATAGGTCAAGTTGCCTCTTGAAGGACTCCTGAGAAGTCGCCTGGACTAGCTCGGCCGGCAGTGAGTTCCAGCATTTGACAACTCTTAAGGAATAGAAGCTATGTCTATATTCCGTTTTGCTATGTTGTGTCTCCACTTTCGGGGTGTTACCCCTTAGGTTAGTGTTCAAACTAAGCTTAACTAGGTGTTTGAGAGGATGTCCAGAAGTGCTGAGAATACTATAAGCCATTAATAATCACCTCTAAGACGCCTATACTCTAGTGGGCAAAGGTTAAGTGATCGGAGGCGCTCTTCGTAAGGTTTAGATTTGAGTCTTCGAACTGATTTCGTTGCTCGCCGTCGGATACGCTCCAGGGTGTCTTTATCCTTTTGGAGTGAAGGAGGAAACATTATGTTTCCGTACTCTAAATGGGGACGGATGAAACTATTGAAGATTATACGGAAAGTTCTTCCGTCGAATTGTCCAAAAATGCGCTTCAACGTTGCCAGTGCAAGGTTTGCTCGGAAGGCATTTTTGTCACAGTTAGCGTAAGACTTTAAATCATGGGGCACCAGGACTCCTAAATCTTTTTATACTTGAGATACTACTAGAGAGGAGTTTCCTAAGTTATAACTGTAGTGTGCGACATGTCGCAGATGGACTACTTTACATTTTGAAGTGTTAAAAGTAAGTCCATTATTATCTGCCCAACTTTGGAGTCGAGTCAGATCCTCCTGAAGTGCCTGTGTATCGTCTTGAGTGAGAGCCTTTTCAATTCCATTGCGAACCACTTGAACTACGTGAAATAGTTCTAATCATATAAGTTATGGGCTCCAGTTTTGAGTATCACTAACCGATTATACAATGTAAGTAAAAACACAAGTATTAAAACCTTTTTCATAGCTAGGAGAATAATCTGAAAATTCAGCTCCTGTCTTAAAAAATCGACGTTATGCTTTCCTGATGAATAAAGTTAGGAGTCGCAATCGGCCTTGAAAGTTTTACTTAATATTCGAACAAATGACTTGTTTCGTTACCATATTTGAATGAGTGTCGAACGTAGTGTCCTGAAGAAACGTCTAGAGCGCAGGCTTGACCGTTTAACTAGAAGCTGTCAACATGCAACTCAGGAGGTATTTTCTTCATCCTAAAACTCAGTTACTCTAAATTAGCTATCATTTCTTCTTAGAGATTTCACAAAGTATATTGAGCGGCATATTGATAATTCCCCATCGGATTTTTCTACTAGTGATAGGATGTCAAATATGGTCTTAGTATCCGAAATAATAATTGAAGATCTACTTGATCTATTGTCTAAGTATCACCATGCATCAGAGAGCATCCTGAAGACGTGCACGCAAGCGCACCAAACAGTAAGGCTTTTTTTTCATTTTGATAGAATAAACAGCAATTTCACATATAAGTAGAACTTTTTAGGTCCAGCATGTATAGATGAAAGTGGTCGTCAAATTTCCATAGGCGAAAGTTCAATTGAATTCAAATTTTACTGAAGTCCTTAATCCCATCATTGAAATAAAATTGTGTAATTTTAGGCGAAATTTGAGGACAGTTGTATTGGAAATCTTAAGGATATGTAGCCGAAATTATATAATTCATCCGGGCGTGGGATTTTTATCGAAATAATCAGCAGACCCACGCAACATTTTCACGTATATTGCGAAAACGCTGTGAATCACTGATAGAAAATTCTAGAGTGATTACTACATTTTGATTGTCGTCCTAGAATTTACCTACGTCTGTGATTTTTCTTTCACAATTAATTGTCCTAGATCCAGGACTTTTGTTGAAGTGACTTCCCTGCGAAATCTCGAAATGTTGAGTGATTCTGGGATTTCTACCCACAATAGTTGCAGAATATGCCGTTAATCAACTCTCAGAATTGACCGATGATCTGAACAGAAATCCCGTTTTCTAAAAATTTCCATCTTTGTCGAAACTTAATTTTCCCATAGTTACTACAGTCAAAATTAGCCTAAGCTCATAACATACTTGTTTATTACCACCTACCAAACTGTTTCTCACCAAACAAACTGACATCGCCCAGTTAAATGTCACGAAAATAGTCTTTCTAATCACTCTGGAATTTTCTGCCTTTGATTTACAGCATCCTCGCAAGGTATGTGAAAATGTTGCGTAGCTTTGCTGATTATTTTGGTAAAAATCCCAAACCTGGGATGCATGTTTTACTACATCATTATTTCAACTCTTTCTGAAGTTTGGTTACGTCATTTTTATTTTTCATTAATTCATAACTTACTGATTTCACTTCAAATCATTATTATCATTAATCGTGTTTGTGATAGTTTAGTTGGTTCTACTTAACTAAACTAACGATAGCCATATTTTGACACCATTTTAACAAAATTTATCCTAAGCTCCAGTAGATGTACATTTTACGAATGACTTAAAATGCATTTAAGATTTCATAATTGGATCCCATATATTTTATTTTGGGTAAAAAATGCCTAGAGGCTCCCAGTCCTGTTGTATGGTTTCGAATTATAATATGGTAAACATTAATCTACTGAAGGAATCAAAATAAACGAATATAATGCGGATCAACAAATGAACTTCAGTGATAAGATTTAGCCGATTCATGAATGCTCGTAAGAGTTATTGATGTAAACACTTGAATATGCTGAAAGCATGGACACAATATAAGTAGGTCTTTACCTAATAAAATATAAAATTCACTCAGTACCTGGGTATGAGACACACTATGTGCGAACTAATGATACTAGACGGTTGCCTAAAACGAAATAAGTAGGGTGGAGTTCAAACTTGGGACTCACTGGCTGGACGTCAAACACCCTAACCACTAAGCCACCAATTGACTCATCTAATAAAATAATATATTTGTGGGCGAAACGTCAACAGAAATAGACAATTACTCTAATACGGCGGAGGGTGAGATGAGTCAGCTCTCCCACTCGAAATCAGTCAGCAACGATGTAGAACTTCGTACGTACGTACATCAGTTCTAGTTGCCATACCCTCTCAAAATGCTCTCACATGGCCATGTGTATACAACCACTGCCAGGGAAGTCCTACTCACTGCCTTCTCGCTGCGAGGGTGTTGTTTACGAAATCGAGAGGAAAAAAAGCGAATATCCGGCACTTTAACCGGGTTGGTGGATATGGAGAGTCTACCTAGGGGAGTTGGAAAATCCTGATTCCGAACCGGTAGTGCATATGGGCTTCAGGATCCAATTTTAGCGACTAGGTTGACTAATATTTTAGCTAAAATCTGGGAGTTAGACGTTATCTGACTGGTCACAATCACTTATCGTCCCAATATATAAGAAAGGGTCAAAATCATCCTGTGACAACCACAGAGGGATTAGTTTAACTAATATAATATCTAAAATACTAGCCTCGATAATTATCAGACGCCTAACTAAGACTCGTGAACTGCAAACACGAGAGAATCAAGCTGGCTTTAGACCTAGTCGTGGCTGCATCGACCACATATTCACCATTCGTCAGATTCTAGAACACAGGCATACTTATCGGCGTCCGACGATGGTGGTCTTTCTTGACTTGAAAGCAGCATTTGACTCGGTAGACCGCGAGATTCTGTGTCAGTGTCTGTCATTGAAAGGCGTACCCCAGAAGTACATAAACCTTATAAAGGCTCTTTACTCGAACACTACTAGTCGAGTGAGAGCTTATGGCGAACTGTCATCTACTTTTGCAACCTCAAGTGGTGTCCGTCAAGGATGTCCACTTTCCCCATTTTTGTTCAACTTCATCATAGATCTACTGATGGAAATAACTTTCTCGTCGACTGAGTTCTCGGGTATTGATCTCCATCCAGGAGGTCCACTTATTGACTTAGAATACGCAGATGACATAGTCCTGTTTGGTGAAGACGCTGACAAAATGCAGAGTCTTCTGGTAGCACTGAGCAACAATGCCAGAATGTTTGGAATGCGCTTCTCTCCCTCTAAATGCAAGTTGTTGCTTCAGGACTGGTCTGCGTTAACACCTGAACTAAGGATAGGGAGTGAAGTAGTCGAACGCGTTGACAACTTCACTTATCTTGGAAGTCTGATCAGCCCTAATGGGTTGGTATCGGACGAAATCTCAGCACGGATTCGAAAAGCTCGTTTGGCTTTTGCCAACTTACGTCACCTGTGGCGAAGGCGAGATATCCGTCTATCAATAAAAGGACGAGTATACTGCGCGGCAGTCCGTTCTGTTTTAATTTACGGCAGCGAAACATGGCCATTAAGAGTAGAAGACACTCGTAAGCTACTAGTGTTTGACCACAGATGCCTTAGAAATATTGCTGGCGTCTGCTGGGACCACCTGGTAAGTAATAGTGAGGTTAGACGCAGGGTATTAGGGAATGATGGTAAATCAGTTGATGAGGTTATGAATCTTCATCGACTGAGATGGTTGGGCCACGTGTTACGTATGCCTGAACACCGATTACCACGACGTGCAATGCTATCCGGTATTGGAGATGGTTGGAAGAAAGTTAGGGGCGACCAAACCAAAACGTGGCATCAGTGCTTAAAGTCACTAACTTGTAGTCTGAGCCATGTTGGTAGATGCAGACTACTTGGTTGGGGTCCGCGTGACTATCGTAACCAATGGTTGGAGACTCTTGGTGACATGGCTCAGAATCGATCACAATGGCGTCGGTGTATACACTCCCTGTCTTCCCTTAAACTAAGAGATTAAAATCGCTTCATATCTTTCTTTCTACGAACCAATTCTTTCTTCTTGTATTATATCTCTATATGCAATCTTTCTCTTATATATTACCACCTTTGACATAACCACTGCTATGAATCCGGTGTTCATCTTGTTGTGCTGATGCGGTATGGCAACCTGGACCGATGCACATATGTGCCTGGTCCTACGTTGTAGCTGACTGACTGACTGACCAGGATCCTGAGGGAACAAATGGCGTATGAACCCATTGTTGGTCACCGGCTACCATGGGTCTGCATCTCTTGACGTTGCTCCACTGCCTTGTGGATCAGACCTTCAGGTCGAAGGCTCTAGGTGTGGCCTCCCTAAGAAAAACGCATGCTCCGGTCTAGGCATCCGAGCAGTACCACAGCCCACACACAAATCAAGTGACTTGTGTAGTGAATATGTATTCGGTGCCCCATTTGTACCAGTATTTATGTTCAACTAAATAGGATAGGAAATGTCAACCTCTCAGGTTACGTACTTAGCAATAACTGTTAGGCTTAGTTCCCTCCAATTACATAAGTTAGTTTTTAGATTAACGACTAGGTAGTCAAGTCGAAAGCACTTTCCTTTGTCTTCATAGCTTATGTGTCCTGGCACCAAGCGGTAGATAAAACCTGGGATGTCAGTCTTCGATTTTTGTACGTAAGAATTGTTAGGACGGTAGAATTTATCACAGCTTTATGTCATAATATTCCTTGTTGTTAGAAATTCGATAACCGATCTCTGAATTAAAATGATCATAATACGTTTCGCCTTTCTAATGGTAGTTTGGGTATTTCGATTTATGGACAAGATTTACTGTCTTCTGAGGATATTTTTTCAACGCTGCAAATCTAGGCTACCATCAGCCTGTTTTTAATGTTCATTTAAAGCGGTATTTAACTGAAAATTGATTTTTCCAAGATTGATTCTTCAGATATCAGCTCACTGTGTAATTATGACCTCACCAAAGATTCTGTTGGAAAGTGCTTGGATCAACCGCTTGACGAAAAATACTTCATAGAACATTTATATAGCCGTACGCGACTCCTTTACATGCTAGAAACAAGCTTTGAATTGCAGGAAACCGGTCTTATATCTCAAATTTCGTATCTGAAAGGGATATGTACGTAAGTAATACTTTGTGACCTAAAACTTTCAGAACTATTACTTGACTACATTCTCACAGAATTGACCATATTTCAGTAATATATATATATATATATTCTAAGATTTCTGTGTCGTTTTATTCACATCTTGTCTAATATCGTCTGGCCATAATTTCTAGCTATTAAATTTGTTTTGGTAATTGTCCGGATATCAATACATCCCAGTATCATGCCCTAAGTATCTGTCAATAATCTTTTAGCTTTTCATCCCACAACTGTTTAGTAACAATATACAGATTTCATGTCACATAAGTCTGACTCAGCTGACTTAAGTATTGATTTATAATTTTCCAAATCTCTAGGATGCAAAGATCCTAGTGCCGTTGTAGAGATAAGTCGAGTATACATCATTACCAACCAGTATTTTTATTGTCAGTGTAATGAATCCAAGTTCAATCTTGTGACCTCACCTCACTTTTAGCTGTAAAAATTATATCAATAATTCTGAAAGATTTTTTCTTATTTAAAAGTTTGAGTCTAAGCACGACTTGGGACTAGTTGTCAATGTGAAAGCCATATTTCACCAAAAATGTCTTTTAAGCCGTCGTAATGTGGACACCGGAATTTCAACTACTGGGTTAGAGTACATAGCTTCAACTCAAGTAATGGGAATAATATCTCCAGCTACATAGAATAATCATGGCTCACAGTCTAATGTACACGAACCTATACTTGTTTACTAATTTAACTAATAGCAACACTGCATTTAGTTAACGAATTCAGACCCATACTCGATCCCGTTACATAGAAGTATTCACCTCGATTTCAATACTCTATATTCGTTCGCAGTAATAGGTTTTTTCTGAATCTGTTTTTTAACTAGAACAAGGGGAGAAATATCACCAGATATCACCGAAGAATATTTAAGGGAGCTAGAAGTAGAATGTACCAAATTAGCCTCAGAATTAGCTACTTTAAATCAGCTGGAGGTTATTCAAGTTCAATCAAGAAATAAATTGGTTGAAAAGCAGAACCAATTAAAACATATGAATGATGTAAGTTAATCTCCATTTTTGTAAGGCATTACTTTGCTATCTGAATAGAAGGCTGATATGATTCTACGTAAAGAAACAGAAAAGGATGACAAACGGGAGGCGTACCATACACAAAAAATAGATCAATAATGACAACCAAGTATTATCGACTTTGATGCTTCATTTACACTGATCAGCAGTCAGATTTAAAGAAAAGTGCTAGATATCAATTAGTCAACAACTTAAAGTTTCAACACAATCTGTACTGTAGAATTAGATTCCTTTAACTAATAAATGTAACTAGCTTGGTGAGTTGTGTGATCCATCCTTCCTAAAACATTCTTTTTAAAACAGAATTTTCGTTGAGTGATTGGAAATATTCCCTAACGTATAGTCAGCTACGGATATAGGGATTGCTTATTGGTTATCCATTTACGTTTCGTCATCATATTTTCAAATGTTGCCTTGAATAATCGAATAAATATATGCCTTAAACTATATCCTTATCATAAATTAACGTTACGTTGAATATACATTCTTTGTTTAGCCAGTAGACATTTAAGTTTCTGTAATTACACTGAACTCTGTGTTATAAAAAATTGTTCATGCTCTGTGGCGGTACTTCATCCCCTATCAGAAAGCAGTTACTGTATACTAATCTGTTATTTCTTGATATTTGTCTATTGTTCTCTATGTTGTGCTTATATAACATATACGCAGTTCAGACGGTAACAATACAGATAAAACTGTAACATGGTGAACAAAAAAGTCACTACAAACAGTGGAACATATACAGAAGTTATAAAGTGTTTACTAAAGTAGTTGATAATAGTGACAATTAATATACAAGGCGGAAAATTTATGGTTAAGCTATTCATTTTTTAACAATTGGAGCATATTTCAAAACTTTAATCATGTCTTCTTAGTTGTATTGTTTTTTCGCACATCATATATAACTCAGAACCTAACACAATTATTTGAACTATGCTTTTCGTTCTGAATTTCAAGTATTACTGTTTTGTTATGATTGAAAGGATTGATCATGTTTGAATGATAAGAAAGGAGGTAGTGACTACGTGATCAGAGAACTTGGTTTTAAACGAGTAGGTTGCAGGTTTGAACCCCACTTTGTAACCGGGTAGTATCACCAGTTGTCACATAAAACAATATGTCTCAAAACCGAGTAGCAAAAAACTACTTTGTATGTTAGATAGGGTGATAATGCCTGCATTTAAATTCCAAATAGGATTGTCTTTCTAGTGTAAATTTATTTCATACTTGGAAATCCTTTACTGATTTCCATCACCAGTTTTCACTATATTAAAACATTATTGATGTTTATTGTATAATGATAATCCATCCTTCTCTTTATAGGTTGAAGGGATTCTTCGTCAAGAAAATTCATGGTTAAGATTTTTGACAAATATAGTTGATTTAGAACATGATTCTTGTAAACAAGCCTTAAAAGAATTGATTTCTATTTCCCAATCACTTCATACTCTCAAGGATTATAGTGTCCAGGTAAAATGCAGTTGTATTTGAAATGACTTACTTATCGATAACTCATATTTTCAGGGGTTTTTCGTCTACTGTTTTAGTACTTTTGTAAATTGTGGCCTTTAAAACTAGAGATTCTTACGTTAATAGTATTCGGTCATAAATTTCAACGAAGCACTGCTCGTGTATCTTTGGGCCATCGAATAAACAATGGTAAAATTAGACAGGGTACTAGGTTTTGATGGTAAATTGATTGGTGAGGTTGTGAATCTTTATCATTTGAGCTGGTTGAGACATGTATTACATATGCTCAACCATCATCAACCTTGACTGCCGATACTATCTCGTGTAAGAGTAGATTGTATGAAAGCTAGGAGCGGCCAAACTAATAGTTGTCATCAGTCCATAAAGTCTTCAACTGTTGGACTGGGCTATTTATGTAGATTCAAACTATTTGATTAGGTTCCACGCAATTATTGTAACTAATGTTTATAAACGACGAATGACATGACTCGAAATCAATCGCAATGGTACATATGAATTCACCCTTTGTCTTCACTCAGATCTTGAGTCTTAGGGTTACCTTATGCGTTTCTGTTCCTACTGATTAGTAAATATATGCTATACAATACTGTCTTAGTGGTTAAGGCTGTAGATTTTCAGTCACTTAGTCGTCTATCTAAGTTCCACTTCACCTATTTGGGTTTGAACCGGCAAGTAAAATAATCACTAGCCCGTACACATAAAGCGTTCTGCAAAGCCAGGTACATGAGTCCGTAATTAGTAAAAAAGTGATATCTTTTTATATCCATCTAGCTGTGCTAATGTAAAATGTAGCGTACTGAAACTAATAATGTCTCAGGCTATGACACAGAGTTACGCGAGTCTGAATCCCACAGGGCATGTGAATTTTCTTAAGATATCGGATGCGCGTTGCTGATGGGTAGCCATTAGTACAATCCTATATTCAGGGACTCCTGTTAATTGTCTCCATCCACTTAATACATCTGGTCGTCGATAGATTCTAGGCGTAGATAAAGTAAACCTAGAATCCTAATTGAATCGATCTCAAAATATATTACTTGTGGTTAACCAACAAATTAAAGTAGTTTTGCTTTAAAACAGGTACCATATGAAGGATAATTTAGAATTGGTAAGCAATGGACTGCTGTTCAGTCTTAGTATGGAGCTTCTCAATAGTTCATAATTAGCGACCCTGTATGGAGAAGAGCTTAAGATGGTTAACTATTTGAGTAAATAAATTTTATTCAGCCACTTAGTCATACTGCAATAGTCTACAATACAAAATTCATCCATATTACGACATGGGATTTAAATGACGCAACTACTATCGTTTCTCATGGATCAAAGTTCAGTAAAGGTAAAAGTTACCAAAGAACGAAGGGAGCTGGGGTTAAAACCATCATGCCAAACTGTTCCCGTTTTCTAGACACAACTTCATTCTCATTTGATTTATTTCGTTCTTTATGACCAAGTAGTATCTACACGAAAATTTTTCAATCTCATGCTGTCTACTAAAAGCATATTTTTATTCACTAAATATTTAGCTTCTTGAGAAATCAGCAAGCTTATATCAATCAGACGATCTGATAGAATGTGATGAATCAGTTAGGAATGATGTCTCAAAACATTTCGAAGATGCTGTTATTCATCTGCTACTAAGTAAGTTGATTTTACCTACAACTATTCTTAATATTTTTACATGATTTGTTTTGATTTTATCTAATATTAAGTAGATGTATGGATTGCTCACATTGTGCTCCAGTAACCGGTTCAAGTTAGAAAACGTCTTAGAGAAACAAATGTCCTACTGATTATTTTATCAGTAGCATATTTATAAATGGCAACATTTATCAGGCTAAGTCTTAGCGATTGTTTTAAGCTAACTTTTCACTACTTGTTTTAATCAGTTGATTAAATTATGAAATATAAAATATGTAGTGAGATTAAAATGATGCGTATTGATTTTATTGGTTGGTGTAGCTTTCATGAAAGTTGTCTTGATGCTACTCACAATATGAAATGAAAAATTGTGGTTTCCAAAACTCATCTCAGTGTGATTTAAAAATTACATCTCATTTATTATATCATTTCCATTACAAATCTTGGATTCCTTCCACCATGTACTTACTTTAACAATGTTAATTAAGCATATGACCAAAGCAAGTCACGTAAAAATTGTTTTTGTTGAAGTAACTCCTGTTAAGTTTATCACTTTTAAACAGTCATTGATTTCGTCTTTTTCCCTAAATATTTATACTTTCATGTCCCAAACTCCAGATTTATCTTAATTTATTGGACTGTTGTCTGTGTACAAACAATAGTAGTAAGCCTTCAAAGTAAATTATCACTAATATTTACTTATTATAGTAAATTATTATAATTCTTATTCTTATTAATGTTTATTAAGAGATAGGATAATAATAAAACATTTCAAATCAGGTAACTTAACCAATAGTTATTTTACACATGATAAACATCAGAATTCCATTTCATGTTAATATCCGTTAGAAATGTTTATCTCACGACAATTTTAAGCTGTTTCTAATGTGTTTATCACATGGTTATTAATTAACACGTTTAGAATTATTGATTGTTGTAAAATTTTAATCTTAAGGCTGATTATAATAAGAGCTAACTACAAATATTATTAATTTATTATATTGATAGATAACCATCTCGTGGTGTAATTAGCCTGTCAAAATTATTTTATGATTGCAAATACGTATTTGAACACGCGTCATTTATGGAAACATGCCGACTAGTTAGCAGTTATTCAATGTCTAATTAGGTTTGTTCCTTAAATTTCAGTTCACTAATTGTCTTTACACATTGAATCTTAACGCATAAGTTAAGTATTGTCTTAATAAATGACATAGGTCGAATGTGATTATCTTCCCGGAGACTTGCGCATTCCACATTATTTGCCAATGCTAAGATTGAGTGGAAAAAGAGGAGAGGCTATCGTTCTTTTAACATGCTGCATTGTTATAAAGTATGGCTATTGTGGAGTGGCATCTATTTGTTTCCATGACTTCTTGGTTGGGGTCCTGAAGGTCGTGTCACTTAGTGCCCTAAAATGGATCATGATAAAATTCGGTATAGATCCTTCTGAAATTTCTTACCACATACTTCTTAAAGTAAGATGGTCTCTCTTAACCGAAAGAAGTCCTTCTTGACTGTATCTTAAACTGAACTGTATCTTTTAGTATTATTGTTTGCCATTTATCTATAGATTACACGGTCCTTCCCTCTTGTCCTTCATGATATTATTACTTAATTTGTGTGACACATTTTTTATCACTATTGCACCGGAATTTCTGTAACGCAAATAAGTAAAAACCTCTTGTAATTGGGGAACCCTACCCTTTCCTATTTTAAATTGCACCAGTACTCTAGTTTTTTTTTAATAGACTGGGAACAATGCTAGTGCCAAGTAAACATGTTTAATCACAGTATGCAGAGATAAATGATATTAAAGCAAACTGATAGATAGTACAAGTTTGCTATCTTTAGGATCTCTTACGCCTTATAGTGTTACTTTAACTTAAAAAGCAATTAATCGACGTGTTCATACATATTAGCTCGTCAAATTGTAGTGCAACAAACGTATTTGTCAGTGAACCTTATATATAGGGATGTCCACTATCTTGGATATGTTTTGCATCTCCAAAGTCTAGGTTTTTTTATATAGTAACACATGTGCATCTTGATACATGGTTGTGTTGATTTCCATTTAAATATTTCAAACTCATAGTAAAAAAATCCACAAATAAATTCTGAGACACGCTTGAATATGAGTTACGGTGGTAAGTACAAATACTTTCTCAATCAGTTTACTGGTTGGTGCCACTTAGATATCTGTCTACTCTTTATAACTGATGTCCGACTTACACCTAATTCGGGTTCTTATCAGTTAAATATACAGAATCAGAATTAAGTAAAAGGTTTTCAAAATGAAATTTAATTTAATTACACTAGTACTAGTAAGCTTTGTATGTGAGACTCTTTTTCTTTGCTTGTTTTTTAAAAATTGAAAACTGTCACGGATATATAGGATTGATAACCTATGAAAGAAATAAGACCTATCGTGAATATATATCTGTTTATCCAAGGTGCACAGCCACAAGAAATCAGTGACAGAAACGTAATGAGTGAAAATAATTTCAACAATAGTTAAAATTTGACAGGACGACAAAGTCATCAAAAACATTTGAGAGTCAGAAATCAAAAGTTTAACATATTACAGTGTATATAACTTGATGAATATTGAAAACGAATAAATTAGAACAGTCAAAAACGAATCCTGGTTTTATCACTATTGAATGATTAATTACAGTTGTCTCAGTAAAAAAAATTGAATCTAATTCAGATCTACGATATTTTTGGTGTGTGCTCGGATTACCCGTTTATAAGATCATTCTTTTGTTACTACTATATAGTAAAACAAAGGTTTTTCGTTTGTTTTTTTCCTGAAGTCTTGTAAATTTTCCTTTCTTTTATAAAATATACTTTTTCACTTCTATTTCTAGCCTCCCCATTGCCATCTGAGCTTTCTGAAAAGCTTAAAACAACCGAAAATCGTTCAGAAACCATCCTTGATATTCTACGTTCTCTAAAATCTAGGTTGGTATCATCCCAAGATTCCATTAAGATTGAATCAGAGCAACTGGATAAATATATACAGCAAATGTATGTCGTTGTGTGTAATTATATTTCTGAAATATGTAAATTTGTTAACGTGTTGAATACCATAACAATTATTTGTATAGTAATAATTTTCAAAACATATAAGACAGGATATTTATGCCTGAGTGTTAAACCTCTTTGAAACTTATTCTAATTTAAATATATTGATATTAGGATGTACTTGTTACTAAAACTAAACTTTATGAGATGGTGGAGATTTGTAGCTCAGGTGGATGATTTTGGTGGAGTTTTGTTCTATGAGCTGGATGGTTTGGAACAAGATTAAACTTTCTACTTTAGCTGTTAGTAGGTTATTGTTGATGAAAATCCAATCAAATTGAATAGCTTTATGTTGTTCAGTATTGAGTATTAATTCGATTATATAGACTAGTTAAGAAAATAATTGAAATATATTTGGGTTTAGTTAAAAAGTTACATCTTACCATTTTTAACTACAACAGAATTACTATTGATATCTATTTAATCGCATTGCGTTGCATATTCTGTAAGACATCATACTTGTGATAAATCAATAAATTATAATTCAATAAAACAGTCTACCACTTGAATGTGCTATTTTCATATATTAATTAATTCTTTACTTTTTTCGACTCAGCGCAAGCACATCTATATAATACTCGATATGATGATAATCACTAAGACAGTATTCGTAAACATGTTTAAACTACTAATGTGCATTCGTTTCTTAGTGGCCACATTTCAGGAGTTTAAACTACAATTTACACACTAGCATTTGAACGACTGATTATATTATTAGTCTTTACACAACAGTTGTGGTTTGTAAACGAATAATCAAATCTATTTGTTTTAAACAAACTACACCTCTTACTTGTTCTCGTAAAGAAAAAGTGTGTGGTCGTGTAAATAATCATACTTGTGTGGCCACCTGATTTTGTTTACACTTTTTGATATTACTGATAGGTACAGATTTTGGTTCGTTTATTAGGTGTAAAACCTTTTGTAATCAACTATGCTGATCCACGTATATATTGGTTGTTTGGATCTTTCCATTATTGTTTAGGACTGCAGTTAATCAGTCTCGTTTTGGCATATGCGCATCCTGTGCGGATTGTCTGGTTATTGCCATTAAGTTAGAAGCAGAGATGGGTAGTGACTGACAAGTCCAAAATAAGACGTAGCGTTCGTTTTGGGTTCTGCTACTACCCACCATCCATCTTTGCTTGAAACTATAGTGATTTTTCCCATTATTTTCTTTACAAATTCCTCCTTTTCATATCCTTTCTATGTTCTTTTCTTTAAATTAACATTCCGCTAGATAATGCTCGATTCGAAATTTATTTATCTTATTGGTAATTAAATCCTGTCAGTTAATTATACAGAAATTTATATACACTATTATGCTAGTTAGGCAACCAAACAGTATTTTCTACCTTTGTCGGTTTGCTTTTATTAGTATTGTTGTTTTTAGTATATTCGTGTATTTGCCATCAGTTGTAATCCAAGCATACTCAGGTGATTTAATAAAATAGCTCATTTGTCTTTTCATTATTTGTCCTCTTTATTTTCTAATGTATAAATGTACATCTATCAAACAGACTTATTTCAACTGGTCAATAAATAAAACTAATTATTGTGTTATAATATCATTATAACTGTATTTTTGATAGATTTGTCATAATATTCTGAAAATTAAAAGGAAGTATTATATCTTGGGCGTTTTCCTTAACTATACGCCCTACTTAACTTTGAAGTGACTATACCTGTTTTTGTCTAGTTATATTGTGGAGTAGTAGTCACGACATTCTATAACTAAATGACGGATTTAAATTTTATTCTACTTTTTAAAACATGATTGCCTAGGTCCGTATCACTAATCGTCCGATAAAAGTTGTAATCCACAGTGTATGACACCTAACCGCACCCACTTCTAACAGTTGCTTTCAAAACTGTTTTATCTCTCAAGGTGACACTCACTGTCTTAGTATGTGTTTGGAAATAGTCAAGTTTAATACTCTGACAAAATAGGATATGTTTATATTCACATCCAACCTACTGGTTATTGCAACCCACTTTTTCTAGTTACTCAAAGACTTAAATTTTATTTATTTTAACACATAGATATTGGTACAAGGAGGCACCAAATACATATGCGACACACAAATCTCATTTGATATGTGTGAGGGCTGTGATACTACCCGGGTGCCCAAACCGAAGCAGGTGGTTTTCTTAGGGGTCTACACCCGGAGCCTTCGACCTGAAGGTCTGATCCACAAGGCAGTGGAGCATCGTAAGGAGATGCAGTCCTATGGTAGTCGGTGACCAACGATTGATTCATACGCCATTTGTTCCTTCAGGATACTGGAGCCCATGTGCACCATTGGTTTAGAATCAGGATCTTCCAACTCCCCTAGGTAGACTCTCCATATCCACCAACCCGGTTAAAGTATCGACATTCGTTTTTCATCCTCTCAATTTCGTAAACAACACCCTCGCAGCGAGAAGGCAGTGAGTAGGACTTCCCTGGCAGAGGCCATATACGCTTGGCCATGTGAGAGCATTTGGAGAGGGAGAGCGGACTCTCCTCACTCTCGGACGTACCAGAACATTTGGGGTCTATATTACAAAATGATGTGATTATTTGTTTGTTGTTTTGGAAAATATTCATTCACGAGACTTCTGTGTGATTTACCTTGTTTTAATCTTGTACTAAGTATAGAAAATTGTAAAGAAATATTTATCACATTATTAAAACGGATTATTATATTAAGGAGGAAGAGTGTATTTGTAAAAGCTCAGCGAGTGAATTTGAAGTAAATCCAACGTTTCGCTCGCCAATCTGATCCAAGCTTCCTCGAGGATATATATGTCATACATCAACTCGGCCCTCAAATACTGTGAAACCATTCGTTCAAATTTAAACTAAAGTTCTTACAGACTATTACTATTAGTCCATAGAATAATAGGAAGATATTACATCATGAAGTGATCCCAGATTTTAAACATCAAAAGAAGGTTGAGTAAGAATCTAAATGTTATACAAAAGAGAATATGTAAATGAAAACAATATACGGATCAAAAATAGGAAAGATAAAATGTAAATACAAATTCATAGCTTAATTAAATGTTTTCGTCAAAAAGAACATTTTCTCTACTGATTCCTTCTCATTTCTATTCTAATCATTATTACAAAACAGATTATATTCATTTATTTTTACAAAGAGGAGACCTATATCCATTTGGCTATCATTTAACTATTTTAAAATAATCACATTATGATAATTGCTTACTATCTCTTATGCTTTTGACCTTCAATCTTTTCTATATTGTTTTTAAAAGTACTAACAACTAATATATAAACATACCATACAAATAAAAAAGTTATATTCTATTCTTAATTAGTTCACATGATTATTATCGAAAATGTACATAAATTTGCCGTGGAATCACTTGGTTTCATTGTAATCTTTATTTTTATGATTTAAACATAGTAAAGACTATGTATCTATTTGTTTATAAATATGATTGGTCAGTTAATGAGTCGATAAATGATACAGTATATTTAATAGTTAAGATTATGAGCCAATTGAAGCTAAACCACCATGGAAAACCTGGAGACACTGGACGGCCGTTTCGTCCCATTGTGGAACTCTTCAACAGTGGACATTCACAATCCTGCCTCGGTTCAGTGGTCTAGTGGTTAAGCGCTCGCACGCGAGATTGTTAGGTCCTGGGTTGGAATCTCGCGACCATTAAACTTTCTATAATATCCACAAAAACCCCTTCTGATATAGTATTTATTAAAAAAAGAATGAAGGTATATGTTTCAGCAAAGAAAATATTTTCTGCTAAATGGTTCCTTTGAAGCTGTTCAGTAATTTTCTTGATAAATAATACTACACTACTTCATTTTCATAGATTTTTAGATTCGATGCTTGAATAATTTTGACTGTGTGTTTTTCTTCACTCAACTTGTCTTTTTAAAGTTTGACTGTATTTGGTAATTTTATAACATTAATCTATCGTACAGATTAAGAAACTGATACCGTCTAAAAGAAAACTTTCTTTGCTGAAATGTCTCCATTCTTTCTGATGGATCAATAGGTTTATTTTATTTTTGTGTGATTTAGTATTTATTAAAACTTTATTTCCGGTTTTACGATAATTAAACTACTATGCGACAGTTTAAGATTTTATAAGGTATATCAATCGAGCATAAGCGAAACCAATTGCTATTCGATTACAGTTGTGTACTACTTAAACAGAAATGAGGAAATATAGAGATGACAAAACAACATAAGATCTGTAATCCTGTTCACTGTTAGTGTTATTACATGTAATCCCTCTTCCTTCATATCCTTAGAATGTCATTTGTATTTTTTGCAATGTATAGTCGTTGCCTATATTTATTATCTAATATTTCATCCTTGGTATCTTCATGTTTATTTTAGTCGTAAACAATTACTTGGTTTGAAAGAAACATTCGACCTTCCGGATTCACTTATTTCATGCGATACACCTCATCTTGAACAACTGAATCCCGATCGTATTCGTTTTTCTTGGAGAGGTCTTTGTTCTACAGAACTTACAGATTTATTCGTTAATACTTGTAAAGATATAAATGGTTTAGTTGAACAATTGGATCGCCTGGAACTGGAAGCAGATATTACTTTTCCTCATATATAGTTGTCTTATGTATAGATTTACTTGTGTACGAAATAAAACAAGCTTTTTCATCCCAGTTTATTTCGATCACTTCATGCAAAGAAACTGTAAGCAACTTTATCAACTAACTAGATAGGTGTTTTGGTATACGCAGATGATTTCGGACGATTGAAACTACTTTTTTGTAATGTGGTCAAAGTTGTCATTGTGAACCTTTGTATTGTGACTAATTGGTACTATGCTGACTTGAAATTACTGGGTTCAATCCCTTAAGTTGGTAATCCAAACTTACGGTAAGGTTCAATATACTCGACGATTCTGAACATTTCTTCAGTTGATTGTAGATCATTATGAAAACCTTGGACGAAGGGCAAAAGATTGAGTAGCTTTTAAGCCTACAATGCCTCCAAATGTCCTCGTATGGCCAAGAGTGGGGAGGGCCACCTCTCCTCTCGAAATGCTCTCACACGGCCACGCGTATACAGCCTCTGCCAGGGAAGTCCTACTCACTGCCTTCTCGCTGCGAGGGTGTTCTTTACGAAATTGAGAGGACGAAAAACGATGTCGATACTTTAACCGGGTTGGTGGATATGGAGAGTCTACCTAGGGAAGTTGGAAAATCCTGATTCTAAACCAATGGTGCACATGGGCTCCAGTATCCTGAAGGAACAAATGGCGTATGAATCAATCGTTGGTCACCGGCTACCATGGGACTGCATTCAGTAACAACGTAGAACTTCGTACGTACGTACATCAGTTCGAGTTGCCACACCACATTAGCATAGAGTTGCAGTGGTCGATTCAAATCCCGTAGTAGTAGAGATAATAAGAGTATAAGCAGTATTCGGGAAGATTAGGGTTTGGAGATGTTATTTAAAGAGTATAATCCAGTGAAATAAATTTGGAAAGAGGAAAACAAGGGACATGAAGGATTCAGAAGATTGGAATTTGGAAGAACACAGAGAGTGGATGCACCTGCGCCATTGCAAACGATTTTGAGCCATGTCATTCAGGCTCTCTAACCATCGGTTGCTATCACCTCGCGGTCCCCAACCAGGTAGTCTACACCTACAAACATGACTCAGTCCACTTGTCAGTGACTTCATGGACATGTGCCATGTTTTGGTTTGGTCGCCCCTAGCTTTCTTCCAATCTACTCCTATACCACTGAACATCGCATGTCGAGGCAGTCGGTGATTGGGCATGCGTAACACGTGTATCAGCCATCTCAACTGATGAAGTTTCACTACGTCATCAATCGGTTTGCCATTCTTACTTTTAGAGATAACACTCTCCTCATCTAAATTTACAGGGGTTGAACTTCTACCGGGAGGTTCACTTGTTGACTTAGAATATGCCGATGACATAGTTCTATTTGGCGAAGACGCTGACAAAATGCAGAGTCTTCTGACCACTCTAAGCAACAATGCAAGCATGTTCGGGATGCGATTCTCTCCCTCGAAATGCAAAATGTTGCTTCAGGATTGGGTTGCGTTGACACCCGAACTAATGATAGGGAGTGAAGTAGTTGAGTGTGTCGACCGCTTCACTTATCTTGGAAGTCTCATCAGCCCTTGTGGTTTGGTGTGTGACGAAATCTCAGCACAGATACAGAAGACTCGACTAGCTTTTGCCAACTTGCGTCATTTATGGCGTAGGCGAGATATCCGTCTATCAACCAAAGGACGTGTTTACTGCGCAGCAGTTCGTTCCGTCCTACTTTATGGCAGTGAAACATGGCCGGTAAGAGTAGAGGATATCCGTAGGCTACTAGTATTTGATCATAGGTGTCTTCGAAACATTGCTCGTATATCATAGGACCATCGAGTAAGTAACTCAGTTGTTAGGAAACGGGTACTAGGTAAGGATGGCAAATCAATTGATGAAGTAGTGAAACTTCATCAGTTGAGATGGCTGAGACACGTGTTACGTATGCCCAACGACAGACTGCCTCGACGTGCTATGTTCAGTGGTATAGGAGTAGATTGGAAGAAAGCTAGGGGCGACCAAACCAAAACATGGCACATGTCCATGAAGTCACTGACAAGTGGACTGAGTCATGTTTGTAGGTGTAGACTACCTGGTTGGGGACCGCGAGGTGATAGCAACCGATGGTTAGAGAGCCTGAATGACATGGCTCAAAATCGTTTGCAATGGCGCAAGTGCATCCACTCTTTGTGTTCTTCCAAATTCCAATCTTCTGAATCCTTCATGTCCCTTTTTTCCTCTTTCCAAATTTATTTCACTGGATTATACTCTTTAAATAACATCTCCAAACCCTAATCTTCCCGAATACTGCTTATACTCTTATTACCTCTACTACTACGGGATTTGAATCGACCACTGCAACTCTATGCTAATGTGGTGTGGCAACTCGAACTGATGTACGTACGTGCAAAGTTCTACGTTGTGACTGACTGACCCGTTTCCTAACAACTGTGCAATGTTTTGATCTGGCCGCCCCTAGCTTTCTTCCAATCTACTCCTATACCACTGAACATAGCACGTCGAGGCAGTCGGTCGTTGGGCATACGTAACACGTGTCCCAGCCATCTCAACTGATGAAGTTTCACTACTTCATCAATTGATTTGCCATCCTTACCTAGTACCCGTTTCCTAACAACTGTGTTACTTACTCGATGGTCCCATGATATACGAGCAATGTTTCGAAGACACCTATGATCAAATACTAGTAACCTACGGATATCCTCTACTCTTACCGGCCATGTTTCACTGCCATAAAGTAGGACGGAACGAACTGCTGCGCAGTAAACACGTCCTTTGGTTGATAGACGGATATCTCGCCTACGCCATAAATGACGCAAGTTGGCAAAAGCTAGTCGAGCCTTCTGTATCCGTGCTGAGATTTCGTCACACACTAAACCACAAGGGCTGATGAGACTTCCAAGATAAGTGAAGCGGTCGACACACTCAACTACTTCACTCCCTATCACTAGTTCGGGTGTCGATGTAACCCAATCCTGAAGCAACATTTTGCATTTCGAGGGAGAGAATCGCATCCCGAACATGCTTGCATTGTTGCTTAGAGTGGTCAGAAGACTCTGCATTTTGTCAGCGTCTTCACCAAATAAAACTATGTCATCAGCATATTCTAAGTCAACAAGTGAACCTCCCGGTAGAAGTTCAACCCCTGGAAATTTAGATGAGGAGAGTGTTATCTCTAAAAGTACGTCAAGACAAAGTTGAACAAGAATGGGGAGAGTGGACAGCCCTGACGAACACCACTTGAGGTAATCAATTCTGATGACAGTTCGCCATAAGCTCTCACTCGACCAGTTGTGTTCGAGTAGAGAGCCTTTATAAGGTTAATGTACTTCTTTGGTACTCCTTTCAGTGACAAACACTGCCATAGAACCTCACGATCAACAGAGTCGAATGCCGCCTTAAGGTCGAGAAATACTACCATTGTGGGGCGTCTGAATGTGTGTCTGTGTTCTAGAACCTGACGTAGTGTGAATATCTGATCTATACAACCACGTCCAGGTCGAAAACCGGCCTGGTTTTCTCTAGTCTGCTCTTCACGAGCTTTGTTAGGCGTCGAAGTATTATTGAAGCTAATATTTTAGACACTATATTAGTCAAACTGATTCCTCTGTGATTGTCACAAGAGGACTTTTGTCCTTTCTTAAACTGGCACAATCAGTGATTGAGACCAGTCAGATGGGATTACGTCCAGTTCCCAAATTCTACCTAAGACCTCAGTTAATCTCATTGCTAATACTGGACCACCATCCTTAAAAATCTCAGGAGTAAACCTGTCAGGGCCTGCTGCTCTCCCTCGTTTCAGATTTCCTATGGCTTTTTCAACTTCGTAAAGAGACGGAGGACCTACATTAACTTGCCATTCAGGTTGACTGGAGATCGTGGGAAACCGAAGTGTGGCTGAAGGCCAGTTGAACTGATCCCTAAAGTGTTCTGCCCATCGATCCAATCTCCTGGATTGAGAATGAATAATATGTCCATCTTTCTCTGAGATTGTTTCGCTAACGGTCGGGTTCCTAATTCCGGTTTCCTTAACGAGTCTGAACAATTGTCTGCTATTACCTATTGCCGCTGCCTTTTCCATCTCTCTTGCTTTCGCTACCCACCACTGTTCGCGATCATTGCGTAGACTTCTTGTCAGCTTGCGCTTAAGCTGACTCCGCTCTTCATTATGTTCAGAGCCAGGTGGAATGAGTTTCCGAGCATCTATCAGTGAGATAGATGCTGCTGAGATCCAGTGTTGCTCCCTAACCTTACGGGACTGCATGTCCTTACGATGCTCCACTGCCTTGTGGATCAGACCTTCAGGTCGAAGGCTCCGGGTGTAGACCCCTAAGAAAACCACCTGCTTCGGTTTGGGCACCCGGGTAGTACCACAGCCCACACAGATAGAATCAAATGACGACATTTACTGAAAATTGTATTCTCTCCTCGATTAAAAGTCAAGCAATTCACATTATTATTATTATTTTTTATTTTTCTATTTATTTGTTACGTCACTTATTCGCTTTCTTTTATTCCCACTTTCTGTGTGTGGCGCATATGCATTTGGTGCCCCCTTGTACCAATATGTGTTCAAATAAAATAAAATATGAAAAAGCTTACAATCCAACAGGTAGTGGTTGTGTCTTTAAACCACATAGTTACACTGTATAGTATGGGAGATTTTGTAGACAGCCATTTAATTGGGATCACCAACTGACCCAAGTTAACAACCCTTGAAAGTTTTTTCGTCTAAATATGGGATTTCTCAATTGTATCCATCCACAACCTCGTGTCTGGGAGTCAAACCCCATTACCTTTGGTCTGCCATGTGAACGCTTAACCTCTAGACCATTGAGTTGGGTCTAACTTCAATCAATCCATGATATTGCGGGGCTACGTTTGAACTTCACAGGTCAAAAATCCTCACATTAACTCCGTAGATTCCCTGTTCAAGTTAGTAACTAGTAAGTTTATGATAATTATAAGTATGGAGTTGGGGAGATTATTGGATTTCATTGAGATTACTAGCTGGTCTGATATAAGTATTGCAAACCTAAAAGCATCTTAGTATTTGTCCTATTTTTTATG